ACACAACTGGGTTGGACTGCCATGTGACTCGTTCAGTCTGGTTGATTAGCGACATGACATCGATCGGTAGCACCTCTTTCTTTCTTTAGGACCTCGTTTGATGGACAGACAAGACGATTGATCCGCCATGACACGAGTGGATGGAGGAGGCTGTGGTGGAGGACAGGTGAGCATGGCAAACCCCGTGGGTGTTTGTTTGCGTGATTTTTCGGAGAAGTGTGCACGCGTGTGCGAAGCCTGTCTAGCTCAGTTGGTAGAGCGCAAGACTCTTAATCTTGTGGTCGTGGGTTCGAGCCCCACGGTGGGCGACTACCAATGATGCGATCGAAACGGATGCAGTCCCGATCTCTTTAGAGCCGCACTTTTTCCGTCTCTTCGTTACAGTGGTTTATCAGCTGGATTGGCTCCAGAACAAGGCGCACCATTCTCGACCACTCGAATCGGGCAGGCTGAGAGGGTCGGACGTTACCGCGTGTTCGCAACCCAGTCCATACTATCTCTTCTCGGATAGAAACCAATGGGCAGTACCATGGTGATGGAGTAACACAACTGGGTTGGACTGCCATGTGACTCGTTCAGTCTGGTTGATTAGCGAAATGACATCGATCGGTAGCACCTCTTTCTTTCTTTAGGACCTCGTTTGATGGACTGACAAGATGATCGATCCGCCATGACACGAGTGGATGGAGGAGGCTGTGGTGGTGGCCAGGTGAGCATGGCAAACCCCGTGGGTGTTTGTTTGCGTGATTTTCGGAGAAGTGTGCGCGCGTGTGCGAAGCCTGTCTAGCTCAGTTGGTAGAGCGCAAGACTCTTAATCTTGTGGTCGTGGGTTCGAGCCCCACGGTGGGCGACTACCAATGATGTGATCGAAACGGATGCAGTCCCGTTCTCTTTTAGAGCCGCACTTTTTCCGTCTCTTCGTTACAGTGGTTTATCAGCTGGATTGGCTCCAGAACAAGGCGCACCATTCTCGACCACTCGAATCGGGCAGGCTGCGAGTCGGACGTTACCGCGTGTTCGCAACCCAGTCCATACTATCTCTTCTCAGATAGAAACCAATGGGCAGTACCATGGTGATGGAGTAACACAACTGGGTTGGACTGCCATGTGACTCGTTCAGTCTGGTTGATTAGCGACATGACATCGATCGGTAGCACCTCTTTCTTTCTTTAGGACCTCGTTTGATGGACAGACAAGACGATTGATCCGCCATGACACGAGTGGATGGAGGAGGCTGTGGTGGTGGACAGGTGAGCATGGCAAACCCCGTGGGTGTTTGTTTGCGTGATTTTTCGGAGAAGTGTGCGCGCGTGTGCGAAGCCTGTCTAGCTCAGTTGGTAGAGCGCAAGACTCTTAATCTTGTGGTCGTGGGTTCGAGCCCCACGGTGGGCGACTACCAATGATGTGATCGAAACGGATGCAGTCCCGTTCTCTTTCAGAGCCGCACTTTTCCGTCTCTTCGTTACAGTGGTTTATCAGCTGGATTGGCTCCAGAACAAGGCGCACCATTCTCGACCACTCGAATCGGGCAGGCTGCGAGTCGGACGTTACCGCGTGTTCGCAACCCAGTCCATACTATCTCTTCTCAGATAGAAACCAATGGGCAGTACCATGGTGATGGAGTAACACAACTGGGTTGGACTGCCATGTGACTCGTTCAGTCTGGTTGATTAGCGACATGACATCGATCGGTAGCACCTCTTTCTTTCTTTAGGACCTCGTTTGATGGACAGACAAGACGATTGATCCGCCATGACACGAGTGGATGGAGGAGGCTGTGGTGGTGGACAGGTGAGCATGGCAAACCCCGTGGGTGTTTGTTTGCGTGATTTTTCGGAGAAGTGTGCGCGCGTGTGCGAAGCCCGTCTAGCTCAGTTGGTAGAGCGCAAGACTCTTAATCTTGTGGTCGTGGGTTCGAGCCCCACGGTGGGCGACTACCAATGATGTGATCGAAACGGATGCAGTCCCGTTCTCTTTCAGAGCCGCACTTTTTCCGTCTCTTCGTTACAGTGGTTTATCAGCTGGATTGGCTCCAGAACAAGGCGCACCATTCTCGACCACTCGAATCGGGCAGGCTGCGAGTCGGACGTTACCGCGTGTTCGCAACCCAGTCCATACTATCTCTTCTCAGATAGAAACCAATGGGCAGTACCATGGTGATGGAGTAACACAACTGGGTTGGACTGCCATGTGACTCGTTCAGTCTGGTTGATTAGCGACATGACATCGATCGGTAGCACCTCTTTCTTTCTTTAGGACCTCGTTTGATGGACAGACAAGACGATTGATCCGCCATGACACGAGTGGATGGAGGAGGCTGTGGTGGTGGACAGGTGAGCATGGCAAACCCCGTGGGTGTTTGTTTGCGTGATTTTTCGGAGAAGTGTGCACGCGTGTGCGAAGCCCGTCTAGCTCAGTTGGTAGAGCGCAAGACTCTTAATCTTGTGGTCGTGGGTTCGAGCCCCACGGTGGGCGACTACCAATGATGTGATCGAAACGGATGCAGATCCGTTGTCTTTTAGAGCCGCACTTTTTCCGTCTCTTCGTTACAGTGGTTTATCAGCTGGATTGGCTCCAGAACAAGGCGCACCATTCTCGACCACTCGAATCGGGCAGGCTGCGAGTCGGACGTTACCGCGTGTTCGCAACCCAGTCCATACTATCTCTTCTCAGATAGAAACCAATGGGCAGTACCATGGTGATGGAGTAACACAACTGGGTTGGACTGCCATGTGACTCGTTCAGTCTGGTTGATTAGCGACATGACATCGATCGGTAGCACCTCTTTCTTTCTTTAGGACCTCGTTTGATGGACAGACAAGATGATCGATCCGCCATGACACGAGTGGATGGAGGAGGCTGTGGTGGTGGACAGGTGAGCATGGCAAACCCCGTGGGTGTTTGTTTGCGTGATTTTTCGGAGAAGTGTGCGCGCGTGTGCGAAGCCTGTCTAGCTCAGTTGGTAGAGCGCAAGACTCTTAATCTTGTGGTCGTGGGTTCGAGCCCCACGGTGGGCGACTACCAATGATGTGATCGAAACGGATGCAGATCCGTTGTCTTTTAGAGCCGCACTTTTCCGTCTCTTCGTTACAGTGGTTTATCAGCTGGATTGGATCCAGAACAAGGCGCACCATTCTCGACCACTCGAATCGGGCAGGCTGCGAGTCGGACGTTACCGCGTGTTCGCAACCCAGTCCATACTATCTCTTCTCAGGTAGAAACCAATGGGCAGTACCATGGTGATGTAGTAACACAACTGGGTTGGACTGCCATGTGACTCGTTCAGTCTGGTTGATTAGCGACATGACATCGATCGGTAGCACCTCTTTCTTTCTTTAGGACCTCGTTTGATGGACAGACAAGACGATTGATCCGCCATGACACGAGTGGATGGAGGGAGGCTGTGGTGGTGGACAGGTGAGCATGGCAAACCCCGTGGGTGTTTGTTTGCGTGATTTTTCGGAGAAGTGTGCACGCGTGTGCGAAGCCCGTCTAGCTCAGTCGGTAGAGCGCAAGACTCTTAATCTTGTGGTCGTGGGTTCGAGCCCCACGGTGGGCGACTACCAATGATGCGATCGAAACGGATGCAGTCCCGATCTCTTTAGAGCCGCACTTTTCCGTCTCTTCGTTACAGTGGTTTATCAGCTGGATTGGCTCCAGAACAAGGCGCACCATTCTCGACCACTCGAATCGGGCAGGCTGCGAGTCGGACGTTACCGCGTGTTCGCAACCCAGTCCATACTATCTCTTCTCAGATAGAAACCAATGGGCAGTACCATGGTGATGGAGTAACACAACTGGGTTGGACTGCCATGTGACTCGTTCAGTCTGGTTGATTAGCGACATGACATCGATCGGTAGCACCTCTTTCTTTCTTTAGGACCTCGTTTGATGGACAGACAAGACGATTGATCCGCCATGACACGAGTGGATGGAGGAGGCTGTGGTGGTGGACAGGTGAGCATGGCAAACCCCGTGGGTGTTTGTTTGCGTGATTTTTCGGAGAAGTGTTCGCGCGTGGCGAAGCCTGTCTAGCTCAGTTGGTAGAGCGCAAAACTCTTAATCTTGTGGTCGTGGGTTCGAGCCCCACGGTGGGCGATACCAATGATATGATCGAAACGGATGCAGTCCCGTTGTCTTTTATAGCCGCATCTTTTCCGTCTCTTCGTTACAGTGGTTTATCAGCTGGATTGGCTCTAGAACAAGGCGCACCATTCTCGACCACTCGAATCGGGCAGGCTGCGAGTCGGACGTTACCGCGTGTTCGCAACCCAGTCCATACTATCTTTTCTCAGATAGAAACCAATGGGCATTACCATGGTGATGGAGTAACACAACTGGGTTGGACTGCCATGTGACTCGTTCAGTCTGGTTGATTAGCGACATGACATCGATCGGTAGCACCTCTTTCTTTCTTTAGGACCTCGTTTGATGGACAGACAAGACGATTGATCCGCCATGACACGAGTGGATGGAGGAGGCTGTGGTGGTGGACAGGTGAGCATGGCAAACCCCGTGGGTGTTTGTTTGCGTGAATTTTCGGAGAAGTGTGCACGCGTGTGCGAAGCCCGTCTAGCTCAGTTGGTAGAGCGCAAGACTCTTAATCTTGTGGTCGTGGGTTCGAGCCCCACGGTGGGCGACTACCAATGATGTGATCGAAACGGATGCAGTTCCGTTCTCTTTTAGAGCCGCACTTTTTCCGTCTCTTCGTTACAGTGGTTTATCAGCTGGATTGGCTCCAGAACAAGGCGCACCATTCTCGACCACTCGAATCGGGCAGGCTGCGAGTCGGACGTTACCGCGTGTTCGCAACCCAGTCCATACTATCTCTTCTCAGATAGAAACCAATGGGCAGTACCATGGTGATGTAGTAACACAACTGGGTTGGACTGCCATGTGACTCGTTCAGTCTGGTTGATTAGCGACATGACATCGATCGGTAGCACCTCTTTCTTTCTTTAGGACCTCGTTTGATGGACAGACAAGACGATTGATCCGCCATGACACGAGTGGATGGAGGAGGCTGTGGTGGTGGACAGGTGAGCATGGCAAACCCCGTGGGTGTTTGTTTGCGTGATTTTTCGGAGAAGTGTGCGCGCGTGTGCGAAGCCTGTCTAGCTCAGTTGGTAGAGCGCAAGACTCTTAATCTTGTGGTCGTGGGTTCGAGCCCCACGGTGGGCGACTACCAATGATGTTATCGAAACGGATGCAGTCCCGTTCTCTTTTAGAGCCGCACTTTTTCCGTCTCTTCGTTACAGTGGTTTATCAGCTGGATTGGCTCCAGAACAAGGCGCACCATTCTCGACCACTCGAATCGGGCAGGCTGCGAGTCGGACGTTACCGCGTGTTCGCAACCCAGTCCATACTATCTCTTCTCAGATAGAAACCAATGGGCAGTACCATGGTGATGTAGTAACACAACTGGGTTGGACTGCCATGTGACTCGTTCAGTCTGGTTGATTAGCGAAATGACATCGATCGGTAGCACCTCTTTCTTTCTTTAGGACCTCGTTTGATGGACAGACAAGACGATTGATCCGCCATGACACGAGTGGATGGAGGAGGCTGTGGTGGTGGACAGGTGAGCATGGCAAACCCCGTGGGTGTTTGTTTGCGTGATTTTTTGGAGAAGTGTGCTGCGTGTGCGAAGCCCGTCTAGCTCAGTCGGTAGAGCGCAAGACTCTTAATCTTGTGGTCGTGGGTTCGAGCCCCACGGTGGGCGACTACCAATGATGTGATCGAAACGGATGCAGTCCCGTTCTCTTTTAGAGCCGCACTTTTTCCGTCTCTTCGTTACAGTGGTTTATCAGCTGGATTGGCTCCAGAACAAGGCGCACCATTCTCGACCACTCGAATCGGGCAGGCTGCGAGTCGGACGTTACCGCGTGTTCGCAACCCAGTCCATACTATCTCTTCTCAGATAGAAACCAATGGGCAGTACCATGGTGATGTAGTAACACAACTGGGTTGGACTGCCATGTGACTCGTTCAGTCTGGTTGATTAGCGAAATGACATCGATCGGTAGCACCTCTTTCTTTCTTTAGGACCTCGTTTGATGGACAGACAAGATGATTGATCCGCCATGACACGAGTGGATGGAGGAGGCTGTGGTGGTGGACAGGTGAGCATGGCAAGCCCCGTGGGTGTTTGTTTGCGTGATTTTTTGGAGAAGTGTGCATGCGTGTGCGAAGCCCGTCTAACTCAGTTGGTAGAGCGCAAGACTCTTAATCTTGTGGTCATGGGTGGGTTCGAGCCCCACGGTGGGCGACTACCAATGATGTTATCGAAACGGATGCAGTCCCGTTCTCTTTCAGAGCCGCACTTTTTCCGTCTCTTCGTTACAGTGGTTTATCAGCTGGATTGGATCCAGAACAAGGCGCACCATTCTCGACCACTCGAATCGGGCAGGCTGCGAGTCGGACGTTACCGCGTGTTCGCAACCCAGTCCATACTATCTCTTCTCAGATAGAAACCAATGGGCAGTACCATGGTGATGGAGTAACACAACTGGGTTGGACTGCCATGTGACTCGTTCAGTCTGGTTGATTAGCGACATGACATCGATCGGTAGCACCTCTTTCTTTCTTTAGGACCTCGTTTGATGGACAGACAAGATGATTGATCCGCCATGACACGAGTGGATGGAGGAGGCTGTGGTGGAGGACAGGTGAGCATGGCAAACCCCGTGGGTGTTTGTTTGCGTGATTTTTCGGAGAAGTGTGCACGCGTGTGCGAAGCCTGTCTAGCTCAGTTGGTAGAGCGCAAGACTCTTAATCTTGTGGTCGTGGGTTCGAGCCCCACGGTGGGCGACTACCAATGATGTTATCGAAACGGATGCAGTCCCGTTCTCTTTCAGAGCCGCACTTTTTCCGTCTCTTCGTTACAGTGGTTTATCAGCTGGATTGGATCCAGAACAAGGCGCACCATTCTCGACCACTCGAATCGGGCAGGCTGCGAGTCGGACGTTACCGCATGTTCGCAACCCAGTCCATACTATCTCTTCTCAGATAGAAACCAATGGGCAGTACCATGGTGATGTAGTAACACAACTGGGTTGGACTGCCATGTGACTCGTTCAGTCTGGTTGATTAGCGAAATGACATCGATCGGTAGCACCTCTTTCTTTCTTTAGGACCTCGTTTGATGGACAGACAAGACGATTGATCCGCCATGACACGAGTGGATGGAGGAGGCTGTGGTGGAGGACAGGTGAGCATGGCAAACCCCGTGGGTGTTTGTTTGCGTGATTTTTCGGAGAAGTGTGCACGCGTGTGCGAAGCCCGTCTAGCTCAGTCGGTAGAGCGCAAGACTCTTAATCTTGTGGTCGTGGGTTCGAGCCCCACGGTGGGCGACTACCAATGATGTTATCGAAACGGATGCAGTCCCGTTCTCTTTCAGAGCCGCACTTTTTCCGTCTCTTCGTTACAGTGGTTTATCAGCTGGATTGGCTCCAGAACAAGGCGCACCATTCTCGACCACTCGAATCGGGCAGGCTGCGAGTCGGACGTTACCGCATGTTCGCAACCCAGTCCATACTATCTCTTCTCAGATAGAAACCAATGGGCAGTACCATGGTGATGTAGTAACACAACTGGGTTGGACTGCCATGTGACTCGTTCAGTCTGGTTGATTAGCGAAATGACATCGATCGGTAGCACCTCTTTCTTTCTTTAGGACCTCGTTTGATGGACAGACAAGACGATTGATCCGCCATGACACGAGTGGATGGAGGAGGCTGTGGTGGTGGACAGGTGAGCATGGCAAGCCCCGTGGGTGTTTGTTTGCGTGATTTTTCGGAGAAGTGTGCATGCGTGTGCGAAGCCTGTCTAGCTCAGTTGGTAGAGCGCAAGACTCTTAATCTTGTGGTCATGGGTGGGTTCGAGCCCCACGGTGGGCGACTACCAATGATATGATCGAAACGGATGCAGTCCCGTTCTCTTTCAGAGCCGCACTTTTTCCGTCTCTTCGTTACAGTGGTTTATCAGCTGGATTGGATGCAGAACAAGGCGCACCATTCTCGACCACTCGAATCGGGCAGGCTGCGAGTCGGACGTTACCGCGTGTTCGCAACCCAGTCCATACTATCTCTTCTCAGATAGAAACCAATGGGCAGTACCATGGTGATGTAGTAACACAACTGGGTTGGACTGCCATGTGACTCGTTCAGTCTGGTTGATTAGCGAAATGACATCGATCGGTAGCACCTCTTTCTTTCTTTAGGACCTCGTTTGATGGACAGACAAGACGATTGATCCGCCATGACACGAGTGGATGGAGGAGGCTGTGGTGGTGGACAGGTGAGCATGGCAAGCCCCGTGGGTGTTTGTTTGCGTGATTTTTCGGAGAAGTGTGCGCGCGTGTGCGAAGCCTGTCTAGCTCAGTTGGTAGAGCGCAAGACTCTTAATCTTGTGGTCGTGGGTTCGAGCCCCACGGTGGGCGACTACCAATGATGTTATCGAAACGGATGCAGTCCCGTTCTCTTTCAGAGCCGCACTTTTTCCGTCTCTTCGTTACAGTGGTTTATCAGCTGGATTGGCTCCAGAACAAGGCGCACCATTCTCGACCACTCGAATCGGGCAGGCTGCGAGTCGGACGTTACCGCGTGTTCGCAACCCAGTCCATACTATCTCTTCTCAGATAGAAACCAATGGGCAGTACCATGGTGATGTAGTAACACAACTGGGTTGGACTGCCATGTGACTCGTTCAGTATGGTTGATTAGCGAAATGACATCGGTGAGTTGCACCTCTTTCTTTCTTTAGGACCTCTTTTGATGGACAGACAAGATGATCGATCCGCCATGACACGAGTGGATGGAGGAGGCTGTGGTGGAGGACAGGTGAGCATGGCAAGCCCCGTGGGTGTTTGTTTGCGTGAATTTTCGGAGAAGTGTGCATGCGTGTGCGAAGCCTGTCTAGCTCAGTTGGTAGAGCGCAAGACTCTTAATCTTGTGGTCATGGGTGGGTTCGAGCCCCACGATGGGCGACTACCAATGATGCGATCGAAACGGATGCAGTCCCGATCTCTTTAGAGCCGCACTTTTTCCGTCTCTTCGTTACAGTGGTTTATCAGCTGGATTGGCTCTAGAACAAGGCGCACCATTCTCGACCACTCTAATCGGGCAGGCTGAGAGTCGGGCGTTACCGCGTGTTCGCAACCCAGTCCATACTATCTCTTCTCAGATAGAAACCAATGGGCAGTACCATGGTGATGTAGTAACACAACTGGGTTGGACTGCCATGTGACTCGTTCAGTCTGGTTGATTAGCGAAATGACATCGATCAGTAGCACCTCTTTCTTTCTTTAGGACCTCGTTTGATGGACAGACAAGATGATTGATCCGCCATGACACGAGTGGATGGAGGAGGCTGTGGTGGTGGACAGGTGAGCATGGCAAGCCCCGTGGATGTTTGTTTGCGTGATTTTTTTGAGAAGTGTGCATGCGTGTGCGAAGCCTGTCTAACTCAGTTGGTAGAGCGCAAGACTCTTAATCTTGTGGTCATGGGTGGGTTCGAGCCCCACGATGGGCGACTACCAATGATATGATCGAAACGGATGCAGTCCCGTTCTCTTTCAGAGCCGCACTTTTCCGTCTCTTCGTTACAGTGGTTTATCAGCTGGATTGGCTGAAGAACAAGGCGCACCATTCTCGACCACTCGAATCGGGCAGGCTGCGAGTCGGACGTTACCGCGTGTTCGCAACCCAGTCCATACTATCTCTTCTCAGATAGAAACCAATGGGCAGTACCATGGTGATGTAGTAACACAACTGGGTTGGACTGCCATGTGACTCGTTCAGTCTGGTTGATTAGCGACATGACATCGATCGGTAGCACCTCTTTCTTTCTTTAGGACCTCGTTTGATGGACAGACAAGACGATTGATCCGCCATGGCACGAGTGGATGGAGGAGGCTGTGGTGGTGGACAGGTGAGCATGGCAAACCCCGTGGGTGTTTGTTTGCGTGATTTTCGGAGAAGTGTGCGCGCGTGTGCGAAGCCCGTCTAACTCAGTTGGTAGAGCGCAAGACTCTTAATCTTGTGGTCATGGGTGGGTTCGAGCCCCACGATGGGCGACTACCAATGATATGATCGAAACGGATGCAGTCCCGTTCTCTTTCAGAGCCGCACTTTTTCCGTCTCTTCGTTACAGTGGTTTATCAGCTGGATTGGCTCCAGAACAAGGCGCACCATTCTCGACCACTCGAATCGGGCAGGCTGCGAGTCGGGCGTTACCGCGTGTTCGCAACCCAGTCCATACTATCTCTTCTCAGATAGAAACCAATGGGCAGTACCATGGTGATGTAGTAACACAACTGGGTTGGACTGCCATGTGACTCGTTCAGTCTGGTTGATTAGCGAAATGACATCGATCGGTAGCACCTCTTTCTTTCTTTAGGACCTCGTTTGATGGACAGACAAGATGATTGATCCGCCATGACACGAGTGGATGGAGGAGGCTGTGGTGGTGGACAGGTGAGCATGGCAAGCCCCGTGGGTGTTTGTTTGCGTGATTTTTCGGAGAAGTGTGCATGCGTGTGCGAAGCCTGTCTAGCTCAGTTGGTAGAGCGCAAGACTCTTAATCTTGTGGTCATGGGTGGGTTCGAGCCCCACGGTGGGCGACTACCAATGATATGATCGAAACGGATGCAGTCCCGTTCTCTTTCAGAGCCGCACTTTTTCCGTCTCTTCGTTACAGTGGTTTATCAGCTGGATTGGCTCCAGAACAAGGCGCACCATTCTCGACCACTCGAATCGGGCAGGCTGCGAGTCGGACGTTACCGCGTGTTCGCAACCCAGTCCATACTATCTCTTCTCAGATAGAAACCAATGGGCAGTACCATGGTGATGTAGTAACACAACTGGGTTGGACTGCCATGTGACTCGTTCAGTATGGTTGATTAGCGAAATGACATCGATCGGTAGCACCTCTTTCTTTCTTTAGGACCTCTTTTGATGGACAGACAAGACGATCGATCCGCCATGACACGAGTGGATGGAGGAGGCTGTGGTGGTGGACAGGTGAGCATGGCAAGCCCCGTGGGTGTTTGTTTGCGTGATTTTTCGGAGAAGTGTGCGCGCGTGTGCGAAGCCTGTCTAACTCAGTTGGTAGAGCGCAAGACTCTTAATCTTGTGGTCATGGGTGGGTTCGAGCCCCACGGTGGGCGACTACCAATGATATGATCGAAACGGATGCAGTCCCGTTCTCTTTTAGAGCCGCACTTTTTCCGTCTCTTCGTTACAGTGGTTTATCAGCTGGATTGGCTCCAGAACAAGGCGCACCATTCTCGACCACTCGAATCGGGCAGGCTGCGAGTCGGACGTTACCGCGTGTTCGCAACCCAGTCCATACTATCTCTTCTCAGATAGAAACCAATGGGCAGTACCATGGTGATGTAGTAACACAACTGGGTTGGACTGCCATGTGACTCGTTCAGTCTGGTTGATTAGCGAAATGACATCGATCGGTAGCACCTCTTTCTTTCTTTAGGACCTCGTTTGATGGACAGACAAGATGATCGATCCGCCATGACACGAGTGGATGGAGGAGGCTGTGGTGGTGGACAGGTGAGCATGGCAAACCCCGTGGGTGTTTGTTTGCGTGATTTTTCGGAGAAGTGTGCATGCGTGTGCGAAGCCCGTCTAACTCAGTTGGTAGAGCGCAAGACTCTTAATCTTGTGGTCATGGGTGGGTTCGAGCCCCACGGTGGGCGACTACCAATGATGTGATCGAAACGGATGCAGTCCCGTTCTCTTTCAGAGCCGCACTTTTTCCGTCTCTTCGTTACAGTGGTTTATCAGCTGGATTGGCTCCAGAACAAGGCGCACCATTCTCGACCACTCGAATCGGGCAGGCTGCGAGTCGGACGTTACCGCGTGTTCGCAACCCAGTCCATACTATCTCTTCTCAGATAGAAACCAATGGGCAGTACCATGGTGATGTAGTAACACAACTGGGTTGGACTGCCATGTGACTCGTTCAGTATGGTTGATTAGCGAAATGACATCGATCAGTAGCACCTCTTTCTTTCTTTAAGACCTCGTTTGATGGACAGACAAGATGATCGATCCGCCATGACACGAGTGGATGAAGGAGGCTGTGGTGGTGGACAGGTGAGCATGGCAAGCCCCGTGGGTGTTTGTTTGCGTGATTTTTTGAGAAGTGTGCATGCGTGTGCAAAGCCCGTCTAGCTCAGTTGGTAGAGCGCAAGACTCTTAATCTTGTGGTCATGGGTGGGTTCGAGCCCCACGATGGGCGACTACCAATGATATGATCGAAACGGATGCAGTCCCGTTCTCTTTTAGAGCCGCACTTTTTCCGTCTCTTCGTTACAGTGGTTTATCAGCTGGATTGGCTCCAGAACAAGGCGCACCATTCTCGACCACTCGAATCGGGCAGGCTGCGAGTCGGACGTTACCGCGTGTTCGCAACCCAGTCCATACTATCTCTTCTCAGATAGAAACCAATGGGCAGTACCATGGTGATGTAGTAACACAACTGGGTTGGACTGCCATGTGACTCGTTCAGTATGGTTGATTAGCGAAATGACATCGATCAGTAGCACCTCTTTCTTTCTTTAAGACCTCGTTTGATGGACAGACAAGATGATCGATCCGCCATGACACGAGTGGATGGAGGAGGCTGTGGTGGTGGACAGGTGAGCATGGCAAGCCCCGTGGGTGTTTGTTTGCGTGATTTTTCGGAGAAGTGTGCATGCGTGTGCGAAGCCCGTCTAACTCAGTTGGTAGAGCGCAAGACTCTTAATCTTGTGGTCATGGGTGGGTTCGAGCCCCACGGTGGGCGACTACCAATGATGTGATCGAAACGGATGCAGTCCCGTTCTCTTTCAGAGCCGCACTTTTTCCGTCTCTTCGTTACAGTGGTTTATCAGCTGGATTGGCTCCAGAACAAGGCGCACCATTCTCGACCACTCGAATCGGGCAGGCTGCGAGTCGGACGTTACCGCGTGTTCGCAACCCAGTCCATACTATCTCTTCTCAGATAGAAACCAATGGGCAGTACCATGGTGATGTAGTAACACAACTGGGTTGGACTGCCATGTGACTCGTTCAGTATGGTTGATTAGCGAAATGACATCGATCGGTAGCACCTCTTTCTTTCTTTAGGACCTCGTTTGATGGACAGACAAGATGATCGATCCGCCATGACACGAGTGGATGAAGGAGGCTGTGGTGGTGGACAGGTGAGCATGGCAAGCCCCGTGGGTGTTTGTTTGCGTGATTTTTTTTGAGAAGTGTGCATGCGTGTGCGAAGCCCGTCTAACTCAGTTGGTAGAGCGCAAGACTCTTAATCTTGTGGTCATGGGTGGGTTCGAGCCCCACGATGGGCGACTACCAATGATATGATCGAAACGGATGCAGTCCCGTTCTCTTTCAGAGCCGCACTTTTTCCGTCTCTTCGTTACAGTGGTTTATCAGCTGGATTGGCTCCAGAACAAGGCGCACCATTCTCGACCACTCGAATCGGGCAGGCTGCGAGTCGGGCGTTACCGCGTGTTCGCAACCCAGTCCATACTATCTCTTCTCAGATAGAAACCAATGGGCAGTACCATGGTGATGTAGTAACACAACTGGGTTGGACTGCCATGTGACTCGTTCAGTCTGGTTGATTAGCGAAATGACATCGATCGGTAGCACCTCTTTCTTTCTTTCTTTAAGACCTCGTTTGATGGACAGACAAGATGATCGATCCGCCATGACACGAGTGGATGAAGGAGGCTGTGGTGGTGGACAGGTGAGCATGGCAAGCCCCGTGGGTGTTTGTTTGCGTGATTTTTCGGAGAAGTGTGCGCGCGTGTGCGAAGCCTGTCTAGCTCAGTTGGTAGAGCGCAAGACTCTTAATCTTGTGGTCATGGGTGGGTTCGAGCCCCACGATGGGCGATACCAATGATGTTATCGAAACGGATGCAGTCCCGTTCTCTTTCAGAGCCGCACTTTTTCCGTCTCTTCGTTACAGTGGTTTATCAGCTGGATTGGCTCCAGAACAAGGCGCACCATTCTCGACCACTCGAATCGGGCAGGCTGAGAGTCGGGCGTTACCGCGTGTTCGCAACCCAGTCCATACTATCTCTTCTCAGATAGAAACCAATGGGCAGTACCATGGTGATGGAGTAACACAACTGGGTTGGACTGCCATGTGACTCGTTCAGTATGGTTGATTAGCGACATGACATCGATCGGTAGCACCTCTTTCTTTCTTTAGGACCTCGTTTGATGGACAGACAAGATGATCGATCCGCCATGACACGAGTGGATGAAGGAGGCTGTGGTGGTGGACAGGTGAGCATGGCAAGCCCCGTGGGTGTTTGCTTGCGTGGAATTTTCGGAGAAGTGTGCGTGCGTGTGCGAAGCCCGTCTAGCTCAGTTGGTAGAGCGCAAGACTCTTAATCTTGTGGTCATGGGTGGGTTCGAGCCCCACGGTGGGCGACTACCAATGATGTGATCGAAACGGATGCAGTCCCGTTCTCTTCTAGAGCCGCACTTTTTCCGTCTCTTCGTTACAGTGGTTTATCAGCTGGATTGGCTCCAGAACAAGGCGCACCATTCTCGACCACTCGAATCGGGCAGGCTGCGAGTCGGGCGTTACCGCGTGTTCGCAACCCAGTCCATACTATCTCTTCTCAGATAGAAACCAATGGGCAGTACCATGGTGATGTAGTAACACAACTGGGTTGGACTGCCATGTGACTCGTTCAGTCTGGTTGATTAGCGAAATGACATCGATCAGTAGCACCTCTTTCTTTCTTTAGGACCTCGTTTGATGGACAGACAAGATGATCGATCCGCCATGACACGAGTGGATGAAGGAGGCTGTGGTGGTGGACAGGTGAGCATGGCAAGCCCCGTGGGTGTTTGTTTGCGTGATTTTTCGGAGAAGTGTGCATGCGTGTGCGAAGCCCGTCTAACTCAGTTGGTAGAGCGCAAGACTCTTAATCTTGTGGTCATGGGTGGGTTCGAGCCCCACGATGGGCGACTACCAATGATATGATCGAAACGGATGCAGTCCCGTTCTCTTTCAGAGCCGCACTTTTTCCGTCTCTTCGTTACAGTGGTTTATCAGCTGGATTGGCTCCAGAACAAGGCGCACCATTCTCGACCACTCGAATCGGGCAGGCTGCGAGTCGGACGTTACCGCGTGTTCGCAACCCAGTCCATACTATCTCTTCTCAGATAGAAACCAATGGGCAGTACCATGGTGATGTAGTAACACAACTGGGTTGGACTGCCATGTGACTCGTTCAGTATGGTTGATTAGCGAAATGACATCGATCAGTAGCACCTCTTTCTTTCTTTAAGACCTCGTTTGATGGACAGACAAGATGATCGATCCGCCATGACACGAGTGGATGGAGGAGGCTGTGGTGGTGGACAGGTGAGCATGGCAAGCCCCGTGGGTGTTTGTTTGCGTGATTTTTCGGAGAAGTGTGCATGCGTGTGCGAAGCCCGTCTAACTCAGTTGGTAGAGCGCAAGACTCTTAATCTTGTGGTCATGGGTGGGTTCGAGCCCCACGATGGGCGACTACCAATGATATGATCGAAACGGATGCAGTCCCGTTCTCTTTTAGAGCCGCACTTTTTCCGTCTCTTCGTTACAGTGGTTTATCAGCTGGATTGGCTCCAGAACAAGGCGCACCATTCACGACCACTCGAATCGGGCAGGCTGCGAGTCGGGCGTTACCGCGTGTTCGCAACCCAGTCCATACTATCTCTTCTCAGATAGAAACCAATGGGCAGTACCATGGTGATGTAGTAACACAACTGGGTTGGACTGCCATGTGACTCGTTCAGTCTGGTTGATTCGAGAAATTACATCGATCAGTAGCACCTCTTTCTTTCTTTAAGACCTCGTTTGATGGACAGACAAGATGATCGATCCGACATGACACGAGTGGATGAAGGAGGCTGTGGTGGTGGACAGGTGAGCATGGCAAGCCCCGTGGGTGTTTGCTTGCGTGATTTTTTTGAGAAGTATGCATGCGTGTGCGAAGCCCGTCTAACTCAGTTGGTAGAGCGCAAGACTCTTAATCTTGTGGTCATGGGTGGGTTCGAGCCCCACGATGGGCGACTACCAATGATATGATCGAAACGGATGCAGTCCCGTTCTCTTTTAGAGCCGCACTTTTTCCGTCTCTTCGTTACAGTGGTTTATCAGCTGGATTGGCTCCAGAACAAGGCGCACCATTCACGACCACTCGAATCGGGCAGGCTGCGAGTCGGGCGTTACCGCGTGTTCGCAACCCAGTCCATACTATCTCTTCTCAGATAGAAACCAATGGGCAGTACCATGGTGATGTAGTAACACAACTGGGTTGGACTGCCATGTGACTCGTTCAGTCTGGTTGATTAGCGAAATGACATCGATCGGTAGCACCTCTTTCTTTCTTTAGGACCTCGTTTGATGGACAGACAAGACGATTGATCCGCCATGACACGAGTGGATGGAGGAGGCTGTGGTGGAGGACAGGTGAGCATGGCAAGCCCCGTGGGTGTTTGTTTGCGTGATTTTTCGGAGAAGTGTGCGCGCGTGTGCGAAGCCTGTCTAGCTCAGTTGGTAGAGCGCAAGACTCTTAATCTTGTGGTCATGGGTGGGTTCGAGCCCCACGGTGGGCGACTACCAATGATGTGATCGAAACGGATGCAGTCCCGTTCTCTTTCAGAGCCGCACTTTTTCCGTCTCTTCGTTACAGTGGTTTATCAGCTGGATTGGATCCAGAACAAGGCGCACCATTCTCGACCACTCGAATCGGGCAGGCTGCGAGTCGGACGTTACCGCATGTTCGCAACCCAGTCCATACTATCTCTTCTCAGATAGAAACCAATGGGCAGTACCATGGTGATGTAGTAACACAACTGGGTTGGACTGCCATGTGACTCGTTCAGTCTGGTTGATTAGCGACATGACATCGATCGGTAGCACCTCTTTCTTTCTTTAGGACCTCGTTTGATGGACAGACAAGATGGTCGATCCGCCATGACACGAGTGGATGGAGGAGGCTGTGGTGGTGGACAGGTGAGCATGGCAAGCCCCGTGGGTGTTTGTTTGCGTGATTTTTCGGAGAAGTGTGCATGCGTGTGCGAAGCCTGTCTAACTCAGTTGGTAGAGCGCAAGACTCTTAATCTTGTGGTCATGGGTGGGTTCGAGCCCCACGGTGGGCGACTACCAATGATATGATCGAAACGGATGCAGTCCCGTTCTCTTTCAGAGCCGCACTTTTTCCGTCTCTTCGTTACAGTGGTTTATCAGCTGGATTGGATCCAGAACAAGGCGCACCATTCTCGACCACTCGAATCGGGCAGGCTGCGAGTCGGACGTTACCGCGTGTTCGCAACCCAGTCCATACTATCTCTTCTCAGATAGAAACCAATGGGCAGTACCATGGTGATGTAGTAACACAACTGGGTTGGACTGCCATGTGACTCGTTCAGTATGGTTGATTAGCGAAATGACATCGATCAGTAGCACCTCTTTCTTTCTTTAAGACCTCGTTTGATGGACAGACAAGATGATCGATCCGCCATGACACGAGTGGATGAAGGAGGCTGTGGTGGTGGACAGGTGAGCATGGCAAGCCCCGTGGGTGTTTGTTTGCGTGATTTTTTTTGAGAAGTGTGCATGCGTGTGCGAAGCCCGTCTAACTCAGTTGGTAGAGCGCAAGACTCTTAATCTTGTGGTCATGGGTGGGTTCGAGCCCCACGATGGGCGACTACCAATGATGTTATCGAAACGGATGCAGTCCCGTTCTCTTTCAGAGCCGCACTTTTTCCGTCTCTTCGTTACAGTGGTTTATCAGCTGGATTGGCTCCAGAACAAGGCGCACCATTCTCGACCACTCGAATCGGGCAGGCTGCGAGTCGGACGTTACCGCGTGTTCGCAACCCAGTCCATACTATCTCTTCTCAGATAGAAACCAATGGGCAGTACCATGGTGATGTAGTAACACAACTGGGTTGGACTGCCATGTGACTCGTTCAGTATGGTTGATTAGCGAAATGACATCGATCAGTAGCACCTCTTTCTTTCTTTAAGACCTCGTTTGATGGACAGACAAGATGATCGATCCGCCATGACACGAGTGGATGAAGGAGGCTGTGGTGGTGGACAGGTGAGCATGGCAAGCCCCGTGGATGTTTGTTTGCGTGATTTTTTTGAGAAGTGTGCATGCGTGTGCGAAGCCCGTCTAACTCAGTTGGTAGAGCGCAAGACTCTTAATCTTGTGGTCATGGGTGGGTTCGAGCCCCACGGTGGGCGACTACCAATGATATGATCGAAACGGATGCAGTCCCGTTCTCTTTCAGAGCCGCACTTTTTCGTCTCTTCGTTACAGTGGTTTATCAGCTGGATTGGATGCAGAACAAGGCGCACCATTCTCGACCACTCGAATCGGGCAGGCTGAGGGTCGGACGTTACCGCGTGTTCGCAACCCAGTCCATACTATCTCTTCTCGGATAGAAACCAATGGGCAGTACCATGGTGATGGAGTAACACAACTGGGTTGGACTGCCATGTGACTCGTTCAGTCTGGTTGATTAGCGACATGACATCGATCGGTAGCACCTCTTTCTTTCTTTAGGACCTCGTTTGATGGACAGACAAGACGATTGATCCGCCATGACACGAGTGGATGGAGGAGGCTGTGGTGGAGGACAGGTGAGCATGGCAAACCCCGTGGGTGTTTGTTTGCGTGATTTTTGGAGAAGTGTGCATGCGTGTGCGAAGCCCGTCTAACTCAGTTGGTAGAGCGCAAGACTCTTAATCTTGTGGTCATGGGTGGGTTCGAGCCCCACGATGGGCGACTACCAATGATATGATCGAAACGGATGCAGTCCCGTTCTCTTTCAGAGCCGCACTTTTTCGTCTCTTCGTTACAGTGGTTTATCAGCTGGATTGGATGCAGAACAAGGCGCACCATTCTCGACCACTCGAATCGGGCAGGCTGAGAGTCGGGCGTTACCGCGTGTTCGCAACCCAGTCCATACTATCTCTTCTCAGATAGAAACCAATGGGCAGTACCATGGTGATGTAGTAACACAACTGGGTTGGACTGCCATGTGACTCGTTCAGTCTGGTTGATTAGCGAAATGACATCGATCGGTAGCACCTCTTTCTTTCTTTAGGACCTCGTTTGATGGACAGACAAGACGATTGATCCGCCATGACACGAGTGGATGGAGGAGGCTGTGGTGGAGGACAGGTGAGCATGGCAAGCCCCGTGGGTGTTTGTTTGCGTGATTTTTCGGAGAAGTGTGCGCGCGTGTGCGAAGCCTGTCTAGCTCAGTTGGTAGAGCGCAAGACTCTTAATCTTGTGGTCATGGGTGGGTTCGAGCCCCACGGTGGGCGACTACCAATGATGTTATCGAAACGGATGCAGTCCCGTTCTCTTTCAGAGCCGCACTTTTTCCGTCTCTTCGTTACAGTGGTTTATCAGCTGGATTGGCTCCAGAACAAGGCGCACCATTCTCGACCACTCGAATCGGGCAGGCTGCGAGTCGGACGTTACCGCGTGTTCGCAACCCAGTCCATACTATCTCTTCTCAGATAGAAACCAATGGGCAGTACCATGGTGATGGAGTAACACAACTGGGTTGGACTGCCATGTGACTCGTTCAGTCTGGTTGATTAGCGACATGACATCGATCGGTAGCACCTCTTTCTTTCTTTAGGACCTCGTTTGATGGACAGACAAGATGATCGATCCGCCATGACACGAGTGGATGGAGGAGGCTGTGGTGGAGGACAGGTGAGCATGGCAAGCCCCGTGGATGTTTGTTTGCGTGATTTTTTTTGAGAAGTGTGCATGCGTGTGCGAAGCCCGTCTAACTCAGTTGGTAGAGCGCAAGACTCTTAATCTTGTGGTCATGGGTGGGTTCGAGCCCCACGATGGGCGATACCAATGATGTTATCGAAACGGATGCAGTCCCGTTCTCTTTCAGAGCCGCACTTTTTCCGTCTCTTCGTTACAGTGGTTTATCAGTTGGATTGGATCCAGAACGAGGCGCACCATTCTCGACCACTCGAATCGGGCAGGCTGCGAGTCGGACGTTACCGCATGTTCGCAACCCAGTCCATACTATCTCTTCTCAGATAGAAACCAATGGGCAGTACCATGGTGATGTAGTAACACAACTGGGTTGGACTGCCATGTGACTCGTTCAGTATGGTTGATTAGCGAAATGACATCGATCGGTAGCACCTCTTTCTTTCTTTAGGACCTCGTTTGATGGACAGACAAGACGATTGATCCGCCATGACACGAGTGGATGGAGGAGGCTGTGGTGGAGGACAGGTGAGCATGGCAAACCCCGTGGGTGTTTGTTTGCGTGAATTTTTGGAGAAGTGTGCGCGCGTGTGCGAAGCCCGTCTAACTCAGTTGGTAGAGCGCAAGACTCTTAATCTTGTGGTCATGGGTGGGTTCGAGCCCCACGATGGGCGATACCAATGATGTGATCGAAACGGATGCAGTCCCTATCACTTTTAGAGCCGCACTTTTTCCGTCTCTTCGTTACAGTGGTTTATCAGCTGGATTGGCTCCAGAACAAGGCGCACCATTCTCGACCACTCGAATCGGGCAGGCTGCGAGTCGGACGTTACCGCGTGTTCGCAACCCAGTCCATACTATCTCTTCTCAGATAGAAACCAATGGGCAGTACCATGGTGATGTAGTAACACAACTGGGTTGGACTGCCATGTGACTCGTTCAGTATGGTTGATTAGCGAAATGACATCGATCAGTAGCACCTCTTTCTTTCTTTAAGACCTCGTTTGATGGACAGACAAGATGATCGATCCGCCATGACACGAGTGGATGGAGGAGGCTGTGGTGGTGGACAGGTGAGCATGGCAAGCCCCGTGGGTGTTTGTTTGCGTGATTTTTCGGAGAAGTGTGCGCGCGTGTGCGAAGCCTGTCTAACTCAGTTGGTAGAGCGCAAGACTCTTAATCTTGTGGTCATGGGTGGGTTCGAGCCCCACGGTGGGCGACTACCAATGATATGATCGAAACGGATGCAGTCCCGTTCTCTTTCAGAGCCGCACTTTTTCGTCTCTTCGTTACAGTGGTTTATCAGCTGGATTGGCTCCAGAACAAGGCGCACCATTCTCGACCACTCGAATCGGGCAGGCTGCGAGTCGGACGTTACCGCGTGTTCGCAACCCAGTCCATACTATCTCTTCTCAGATAGAAACCAATGGGCAGTACCATGGTGATGGAGTAACACAACTGGGTTGGACTGCCATGTGACTCGTTCAGTCTGGTTGATTAGCGACATGACATCGATCGGTAGCACCTCTTTCTTTCTTTAGGACCTCGTTTGATGGACAGACTAGACGATTGATCCGCCATGACACGAGTGGATGGAGGAGGCTGTGGTGGAGGACAGGTGAGCATGGCAAGCCCCGTGGATGTTTGTTTGCGTGATTTTTTTGAGAAGTGTGCATGCGTGTGCGAAGCCCGTCTAACTCAGTTGGTAGAGCGCAAGACTCTTAATCTTGTGGTCATGGGTGGGTTCGAGCCCCACGGTGGGCGACTACCAATGATATGATCGAAACGGATGCAGTCCCGTTCTCTTTCAGAGCCGCACTTTTTCGTCTCTTCGTTACAGTGGTTTATCAGCTGGATTGGATGCAGAACAAGGCGCACCATTCTCGACCACTCGAATCGGGCAGGCTGAGAGTCGGGCGTTACCGCGTGTTCGCAACCCAGTCCATACTATCTCTTCTCAGATAGAAACCAATGGGCAGTACCATGGTGATGTAGTAACACAACTGGGTTGGACTGCCATGTGACTCGTTCAGTATGGTTGATTAGCGAAATGACATCGATCGGTAGCACCTCTTTCTTTCTTTAGGACCTCGTTTGATGGACAGACAAGACGATTGATCCGCCATGACACGAGTGGATGGAGGAGGCTGTGGTGGAGGACAGGTGAGCATGGCAAACCCCGTGGGTGTTTGTTTGCGTGATTTTTCGGAGAAGTGTGCGCGCGTGTGCGAAGCCTGTCTAGCTCAGTTGGTAGAGCGCAAGACTCTTAATCTTGTGGTCATGGGTGGGTTCGAGCCCCACGGTGGGCGACTACCAATGATGTGATCGAAACGGATGCAGTCCCGTTCTCTTTCAGAGCCGCACTTTTTCCGTCTCTTCGTTACAGTGGTTTATCAGCTGGATTGGATCCAGAACAAGGCGCACCATTCTCGACCACTCGAATCGGGCAGGCTGCGAGTCGGACGTTACCGCGTGTTCGCAACCCAGTCCATACTATCTCTTCTCAGATAGAAACCAATGGGCAGTACCATGGTGATGTAGTAACACAACTCGGTTCGACTGCCATGTGACTCGTTCAGTCTGGTTGATTAGCGACATGACATCGGTCGGTAGCACCTCTTTCTTTCTTTAGGACCTCGTTTGATGGACAGACAAGATGATCGATCCGCCATGACACGAGTGGATGGAGGAGGCTGTGGTGGTGGACAGGTGAGCATGGCAAGCCCCGTGGGTGTTTGTTTGCGTGATTTTTTGGAGAAGTGTGCATGCGTGTGCGAAGCCCGTCTAACTCAGTTGGTAGAGCGCAAGACTCTTAATCTTGTGGTCATGGGTGGGTTCGAGCCCCACGGTGGGCGACTACCAATGATGTTATCGAAACGGATGCAGTCCCGTTCTCTTTCAGAGCCGCACTTTTTCCGTCTCTTCGTTACAGTGGTTTATCAGCTGGATTGGCTCCAGAACAAGGCGCACCATTCTCGACCACTCGAATCGGGCAGGCTGCGAGTCGGACGTTACCGCGTGTTCGCAACCCAGTCCATACTATCTCTTCTCAGATAGAAACCAATGGGCAGTACCATGGTGATGTAGTAACACAACTGGGTTGGACTGCCATGTGACTCGTTCAGTATGGTTGATTAGCGAAATGACATCGATCGGTAGCACCTCTTTCTTTCTTTAAGACCTCGTTTGATGGACAGACAAGATGATCGATCCGCCATGACACGAGTGGATGAAGGAGGCTGTGGTGGTGGACAGGTGAGCATGGCAAACCCCGTGGGTGTTTGTTTGCGTGATTTTTTTGAGAAGTGTGCATGCGTGTGCGAAGCCCGTCTAACTCAGTTGGTAGAGCGCAAGACTCTTAATCTTGTGGTCATGGGTGGGTTCGAGCCCCACGATGGGCGATACCAATGATGTTATCGAAACGGATGCAGTCCCGTTCTCTTTCAGAGCCGCACTTTTTCCGTCTCTTCGTTACAGTGGTTTATCAGCTGGATTGGCTCCAGAACAAGGCGCACCATTCTCGACCACTCGAATCGGGCAGGCTGCGAGTCGGACGTTACCGCGTGTTCGCAACCCAGTCCATACTATCTCTTCTCAGATAGAAACCAATGGGCAGTACCATGGTGATGTAGTAACACAACTGGGTTGGACTGCCATGTGACTCGTTCAGTCTGGTTGATTAGCGAAATGACATCGATCGGTAGCACCTCTTTCTTTCTTTAGGACCTCGTTTGATGGACAGACAAGACGATTGATCCGCCATGACACGAGTGGATGGAGGAGGCTGTGGTGGTGGACAGGTGAGCATGGCAAGCCCCGTGGGTGTTTGTTTGCGTGATTTTTTTGAGAAGTGTGCATGCGTGTGCGAAGCCCGTCTAACTCAGTTGGTAGAGCGCAAGACTCTTAATCTTGTGGTCATGGGTGGGTTCGAGCCCCACGGTGGGCGACTACCAATGATATGATCGAAACGGATGCAGTCCCGTTCTCTTTCAGAGCCGCACTTTTTCCGTCTCTTCGTTACAGTGGTTTATCAGCTGGATTGGCTCCAGAACAAGGCGCACCATTCTCGACCACTCGAATCGGGCAGGCTGAGAGTCGGGCGTTACCGCGTGTTCGCAACCCAGTCCATACTATCTCTTCTCAGATAGAAACCAATGGGCAGTACCATGGTGATGTAGTAACACAACTGGGTTGGACTGCCATGTGACTCGTTCAGTCTGGTTGATTAGCGAAATGACATCGATCGGTAGCACCTCTTTCTTTCTTTAGGACCTCGTTTGATGGACAGACAAGACGATTGATCCGCCATGACACGAGTGGATGGAGGAGGCTGTGGTGGTGGACAGGTGAGCATGGCAAGCCCCGTGGGTGTTTGTTTGCGTGATTTTTTTGAGAAGTGTGCATGCGTGTGCGAAGCCCGTCTAACTCAGTTGGTAGAGCGCAAGACTCTTAATCTTGTGGTCATGGGTGGGTTCGAGCCCCACGATGGGCGACTACCAATGATGTGATCGAAACGGATGCAGTCCCGTTCTCTTTCAGAGCCGCACTTTTTCCGTCTCTTCGTTACAGTGGTTTATCAGCTGGATTGGATCCAGAACAAGGCGCACCATTCTCGACCACTCGAATCGGGCAGGCGGAGGGTCGGACGTTACCGCGTGTTCGCAACCCAGTCCATACTATCTCTTCTCAGATAGAAACCAATGGGCAGTACCATGGTGATGTAGTAACACAACTGGGTTGGACTGCCATGTGACTCGTTCAGTATGGTTGATTAGCGAAATGACATCGATCGGTAGCACCTCTTTCTTTCTTTAGGACCTCGTTTGATGGACAGACAAGACGATTGATCCGCCATGACACGAGTGGATGGAGGAGGCTGTGGTGGTGGACAGGTGAGCATGGCAAACCCCGTGGGTGTTTGTTTGCGTGATTTTTTGTGAGAAGTGTGCATGCGTGTGCGAAGCCTGTCTAGCTCAGTTGGTAGAGCGCAAGACTCTTAATCTTGTGGTCATGGGTGGGTTCGAGCCCCACGGTGGGCGACTACCAATGATGTGATCGAAACGGATGCAGTCCCGTTCTCTTTCAGAGCCGCACTTTTTCCGTCTCTTCGTTACAGTGGTTTATCAGCTGGATTGGCTGAAGAACAAGGCGCACCATTCTCGACCACTCGAATCGGGCAGGCTGAGGGTCGGACGTTACCGCGTGTTCGCAACCCAGTCCATACTATCTCTTCTCAGATAGAAACCAATGGGCAGTACCATGGTGATGTAGTAACACAACTGGGTTGGACTGCCATGTGACTCGTTCAGTCTGGTTGATTAGCGACATGACATCGATCGGTAGCACCTCTTTCTTTCTTTAGGACCTCGTTTGATGGACAGACAAGACGATTGATCCGCCATGACACGAGTGGATGGAGGAGGCTGTGGTGGTGGACAGGTGAGCATGGCAAGCCCCGTGGGTGTTTGTTTGCGTGATTTTTTGGAGAAGTGTGCATGCGTGTGCGAAGCCTGTCTAGCTCAGTTGGTAGAGCGCAAGACTCTTAATCTTGTGGTCGTGGGTTCGAGCCCCACGGTGGGCGACTACCAATGATGTGATCGAAACGGATGCAGTCCCGTTCTCTTTAGAGCCGCACTTTTTCCGTCTCTTCGTTACAGTGGTTTATCAGCTGGATTGGCTCCAGAACAAGGCGCACCATTCTCGACCACTCGAATCGGGCAGGCTGCGAGTCGGACGTTACCGCGTGTTCGCAACCCAGTCCATACTATCTCTTCTCAGATAGAAACCAATGGGCAGTACCATGGTGATGTAGTAACACAACTGGGTTGGACTGCCATGTGACTCGTTCAGTCTGGTTGATTAGCGACATGACATCGATCGGTAGCACCTCTTTCTTTCTTTAGGACCTCGTTTGATGGACAGACTAGACGATTGATCCGCCATGACACGAGTGGATGGAGGAGGCTGTGGTGGAGGACAGGTGAGCATGGCAAGCCCCGTGGATGTTTGTTTGCGTGATTTTTTGAGAAGTGTGCATGCGTGTGCGAAGCCCGTCTAACTCAGTTGGTAGAGCGCAAGACTCTTAATCTTGTGGTCATGGGTGGGTTCGAGCCCCACGATGGGCGACTACCAATGATGTGATCGAAACGGATGCAGTCCCGTTCTCTTTCAGAGCCGCACTTTTTCCGTCTCTTCGTTACAGTGGTTTATCAGCTGGATTGGATGCAGAACAAGGCGCACCATTCTCGACCACTCGAATCGGGCAGGCTGAGGGTCGGACGTTACCGCGTGTTCGCAATTCAGTCCATACTATCTCTTCTCGGATAGAAACCAATGGGCAGTACCATGGTGATGGAGTAACACAACTGGGTTGGACTGCCATGTGACTCGTTCAGTCTGGTTGATTAGCGACATGACATCGATCGGTAGCACCTCTTTCTTTCTTTAGGACCTCGTTTGATGGACAGACTAGACGATTGATCCGCCATGACACGAGTGGATGGAGGAGGCTGTGGTGGAGGACAGGTGAGCATGGCAAGTCCCGTGGATGTTTGTTTGCGTGATTTTTTTGAGAAGTGTGCGCGCGTGTGCGAAGCCTGTCTAGCTCAGTTGGTAGAGCGCAAGACTCTAAATCTTGTGGTCGTGGGTTCGAGCCCCACGGTGGGCGACTACCAATGATGTGATCGAAACGGATGCAGATCCGTTCTCTTTAGAGCCGCACTTTTTCCGTCTCTTCGTTACAGTGGTTTATCAGCTGGATTGGCTCCAGAACAAGGCGCACCATTCTCGACCACTCGAATCGGGCAGGCTGAGGGTCGGACGTTACCGCGTGTTCGCAACCCAGTCCATACTATCTCTTCTCGGATAGAAACCAATGGGCAGTACCATGGTGATGGAGTAACACAACTGGGTTGGACTGCCATGTGACTCGTTCAGTCTGGTTGATTAGCGACATGACATCGATCGGTAGCACCTCTTTCTTTCTTTAGGACCTCGTTTGATGGACAGACAAGACGATTGATCCGCCATGACACGAGTGGATGGAGGAGGCTGTGGTGGAGGACAGGTGAGCATGGCAAGCCCCGTGGGTGTTTGTTTGCGTGATTTTTCGGAGAAGTGTGCGCGCGTGTGCGAAGCCTGTCTAGCTCAGTTGGTAGAGCGCAAGACTCTAAATCTTGTGGTCGTGGGTTCGAGCCCCACGGTGGGCGACTACCAATGATGTGATCGAAACGGATGCAGATCCGTTGTCTTTTAGAGCCGCACTTTTTCCGTCTCTTCGTTACAGTGGTTTATCAGCTGGATTGGCTCCAGAACAAGGCGCACCATTCTCGACCACTCGAATCGGGCAGGCTGAGAGTCGGACGTTACCGCGTGTTCGCAATTCAGTCCATACTATCTCTTCTCAGATAGAAACCAATGGGCAGTACCATGGTGATGGAGTAACACAACTGGGTTGGACTGCCATGTGACTCGTTCAGTCTGGTTGATTAGCGAAATGACATCGATCGGTAGCACCTCTTTCTTTCTTTAGGACCTCGTTTGATGGACAGACAAGACGATTGATCCGCCATGACACGAGTGGATGGAGGAGGCTGTGGTGGTGGACAGGTGAGCATGGCAAGCCCCGTGGGTGTTTGTTTGCGTGATTTTTTGGAGAAGTGTGCGCGCGTGTGCGAAGCCTGTCTAGCTCAGTTGGTAGAGCGCAAGACTCTAAATCTTGTGGTCGTGGGTTCGAGCCCCACGGTGGGCGACTACCAATGATGTGATCGAAACGGATGCAGATCCGTTGTCTTTTATAGCCGCATCTTTTTCCGTCTCTTCGTTACAGTGGTTTATCAGCTGGATTGGCTCCAGAACAAGGCGCACCATTCTCGACCACTCGAATCGGGCAGGCTGAGAGTCGGGCGTTACCGCGTGTTCGCAACCCAGTCCATACTATCTCTTCTCAGATAGAAACCAATGGGCAGTATTATGGTGATGTAGTAACACAACTGGATTGGACTGCCATGTGACTTGTTCTGACTAGTTGATTAGCGAAATGACATCGATCGGTAGCACCTCTTTCTTTCTTTAGGACCTCGTTTGATGGACAGACTAGACGATTGATCCGCCATGACACGAGTGGATGGAGGAGGCTGTGGTGGTGGACAGGTGAGCATGGCAAGCCCCGTGGATGTTTGTTTGCGTGATTTTTTTGAGAAGTGTGCATGCGTGTGCGAAGCCCGTCTAACTCAGTTGGTAGAGCGCAAGACTCTTAATCTTGTGGTCATGGGTGGGTTCGAGCCCCACGATGGGCGACTACCAATGATGCGATCGAAACGGATGCAGTCCCGTTCTCTTTAGAGCCGCACTTTTTCCGTCTCTTCGTTACAGTGGTTTATCAGCTGGATTGGCTCCAGAACAAGGCGCACCATTCTCGACCACTCGAATCGGGCAGGCTGAGGGTCGGACGTTACCGCGTGTTCGCAATTCAGTCCATACTATCTCTTCTCGGATAGAAACCAATGGGCAGTACCATGGTGATGGAGTAACACAACTGGGTTGGACTGCCATGTGACTCGTTCAGTCTGGTTGATTAGCGACATGACATCGATCGGTAGCACCTCTTTCTTTCTTTAAGACCTCGTTTGATGGACAGACAAGACGATTGATCCGCCATGACACGAGTGGATGGAGGAGGCTGTGGTGGTGGACAGGTGAGCATGGCAAACCCCGTGGATGTTTGTTTGCGTGATTTTTCGGAGAAGTGTGCACGCGTGTGCGAAGCCTGTCTACCTCAGTTGGTAGAGCGCAAGACTCTTAATCTTGTGGTCGTGGGTTCGAGCCCCACGGTGGGCGACTACCAATGATGTTATCGAAACGGATGCAGTCCCGTTCTCTTTAGAGCCGCACTTTTTCCGTCTCTTCGTTACAGTGGTTTATCAGCTGGATTGGATCCAGAACGAGGCGCACCATTCTCGACCACTCGAATCGGGCAGGCTGAGGGTCGGACGTTACCGCGTGTTCGCAATTCAGTCCATACTATCTCTTCTCGGATAGAAACCAATGGGCAGTACCATGGTGATGGAGTAACACAACTGGGTTGGACTGCCATGTGACTCGTTCAGTCTGGTTGATTAGCGACATGACATCGATCGGTAGCACCTCTTTCTTTCTTTAAGACCTCGTTTGATGGACAGACTAGACGATTGATCCGCCATGACACGAGTGGATGGAGGAGGCTGTGGTGGAGGACAGGTGAGCATGGCAAGCCCCGTGGGTGTTTGTTTGCGTGATTTTTCGGAGAAGTGTGCGCGCGTGTGCGAAGCCTGTCTAGCTCAGTCGGTAGAGCGCAAGACTCTTAATCTTGTGGTCGTGGGTTCGAGCCACACGGTGGGCGACTACCAATGATGTGATCGAAACGGATGCAGTCCCGTTCTCTTCTAGAGCCGCACTTTTTCCGTCTCTTCGTTACAGTGGTTTATCAGCTGGATTGGCTCCAGAACGAGGCGCACCATTCTCGACCACTCGAATCGGGCAGGCTGAGAGTCGGGCGTTACCGCGTGTTCGCAACCCAGTCCATACTATCTCTTCTCAGATAGAAACCAATGGGCAGTACCATGGTGATGTAGTAACACAACTGGATTGGACTGCCATGTGACTTGTTCTGACTAGTTGATTCGAGAAATGACATCGGTGAGTTGCACCTCTTTCTTTCTTTAGGACCTCGTTTGATGGACAGACAAGATGATCGATCCGCCATGACACGAGTGGATGAAGGAGGCTGTGGTGGTGGACAGGTGAGCATGGCAAACCCCGTGGGTGTTTGTTTGCGTGAATTTTCGGAGAAGTGTGCGCGCGTGTGCGAAGCCTGTCTAGCTCAGTTGGTAGAGCGCAAGACTCTTAATCTTGTGGTCGGGTGGGTTCGAGCCCCACGGTGGGCGACTACCAATGATGTGATCGAAACGGATGCAGTCCCGTTCTCCTTTAGAGCCGCACTTTTTCCGTCTCTTCGTTACAGTGGTTTATCAGCTGGATTGGCTCCAGAACAAGGCGCACCATTCTCGACCACTCGAATCGGGCAGGCTGAGAGTCGGACGTTACCGCGTGTTCGCAATTCAGTCCATACTATCTCTTCTCGGATAGAAACCAATGGGCAGTACCATGGTGATGTAGTAACACAACTGGGTTGGACTGCCATGTGACTCGTTCAGTCTGGTTGATTAGCGAAATGACATCGATCGGTAGCACCTCTTTCTTTCTTTAGGACCTCGTTTGATGGACAGACAAGACGATCGATCCGCCATGACACGAGTGGATGGAGGAGGCTGTGGTGGTGGACAGGTGAGCATGGCAAACCCCGTGGGTGTTTGTTTGCGTGATTTTTCGGAGAAGTGTGCACGCGTGTGCGAAGCCTGTCTAGCTCAGTTGGTAGAGCGCAAGACTCTTAATCTTGTGGTCGTGGGTTCGAGCCACACGGTGGGCGACTACCATTGCTGTTATCGAAACGGATGCAGTCCCGATCTCTTTAGAGCCGCACTTTTTCCGTCTCTTCGTTACAGTGGTTTATCAGCCGGATTGGCTCCAGAACAAGGCGCACCATTCTCGACCACTCGAATCGGGCAGGCTGAGGGTCGGGACGTTACCGCGTGTTCGCAATTCAGTCCATACTATCTCTTCTCGGATAGAAACCAATGGGCAGTACCATGGTGATGGAGTAACACAACTGGGTTGGACTGCCATGTGACTCGTTCAGTCTGGTTGATTAGCGACATGACATCGATCGGTAGCACCTCTTTCTTTCTTTAGGACCTCGTTTGATGGACAGACAAGATGATCGATCCGCCACGACACGAGTGGATGGAGGAGGCTGTGGTGGTGGACAGGTGAGCATGGCAAGCCCCGTGGGTGTTTGTTTGCGTGATTTTTCGGAGAAGTGTGCATGCGTGTGCGAAGCCCGTCTAGCTCAGTCGGTAGAGCGCAAGACTCTTAATCTTGTGGTCGTGGGTTCGAGCCCCACGGTGGGCGACTACCAATGATGTGATCGAAACGGATGCAGTCCCGATCTCTTTTAGAGCCGCACTTTTTCGTCTCTTCGTTACAGTGGTTTATCGGCTGGATTGGCTCCAGAACAAGGCGCCCCACTACGACCACTCGAATCGGGCAGGCTGAGAGTCATTACCCTGTTCCTGGTGGTCTCCACTCACTATCTCTTCTCTCGAGATGAGAACCATAAGGCTTACCATGGTGATGGGTCCCTGGTTGGGCTGCCATGTGCCGTCACGGTTGTTGCGCTCTCCTTTTCTTTCTTTAAACCTCGTTTGATGGACAACCAAGACAATGATCGCCATGACACGGGGGGGGGGGGCGGGTGGGGGAAGGAGGAAACCCTTTTTTGTTTTCGGAGTGTGCGTGTGCGAGCCTGTGTCTAGCTCGTGGTAGAGCGCAGCCTATTTGTGGTCAGGGTTCGAGCCCCACGGTGGGCGACTACCAGTGATAATGATCGAAACGGATGCAGTCCCGTTCTCTTTAGAGCCGCACTTTTCCGTCTCTTCGTTACAGTGGTTTATCAGCTGGATTGGCTCCAGAACAAGGCGCACCATTCTCGACCACTCGAATCGGGCAGGCTGAGAGGGTCGGACGTTACCGCGTGTTCGCAATTCAGTCCATACTATCTCTTCTCAGATAGAAACCAATGGCAGTACCATGGTGATGGAGTAACACAACTGGGTTGGACTGCCATGTGACTCGTTCAGTCTGGTTGATTAGCGAAATGACATCGATCGGTAGCACCTCTCTGTCTTTCTTTAGGACCTCGTTTGGATGGACAGACAAGATGATCGATCCGCCATGACACGAGTGGATGGAGGAGGCTGTGGTGGTGGACAGGTGAGCATGGCAAGTCCCGTGGGTGTTTGTTTGCGTTATTTTCGGAGAAGTGTACGCGTGTACAAAGCCTGTCCTAAGCCCAGTTGGTAGGCCTAGGACTCTTAATCTTGTGGTCAGGTGGGTTCGAGCCCCACGATGGGCGACTACCAATGATGTGATCGAAAACGGATACAGTCTCGATCTCCTTCTAGAGCCGCACTTTTTCCGTCTCTTCTGTTACAGTGGTTTATCCCGCTGGATTGGTTCCAGAGCAAGGGCGCACCATTCACGACCACTCGAATCCGGGCAGGCTGGCGGGTCGGAGGTTACCGCGTGTTCACAACTCAGTCCATACTATCTCTTCTCCGGATAGAAACCAATGGGCAGTACCATGGTGATGGAGTAACACGCTGAGGTTGGACTGCCATGTGACTCGTTCCGTCTGGTTGATTAGAGAAATGACATCCGATCAGTAGCACCTCTTTTTTCTTTCTTTAGGAACCTCGTTTGATGGACAGACAAGATGATCGATCCCTACATTTGACACAGTGGATGGAGGAGGCTGTGGTGGTGGACAGGTGAGCATGGCAAGCCCCGTGGGTGTTTGTTTGCGTGATTTTTCGGAGAAGTGTGCATGCGTGTGCGAAGGCCTGTCTAGCTCAGTTGGTAGAGCGCAAGACTCTTAATCTTGTGGTCATGGGTGGGTTCGAGCCCCCTACGGTGGGCGACTACCAATGATGTGATCGAAACGGATGCAGTCCCGTTCTCTTTCAGAGCTCGCACTTTTTCCGTCTCTTCGTTACAGTGGTTTATCAGCTGGATTGGCTCCAGAACAAGGCGCACCATTCTCGACCACTCGAATCGGGCAGGCTGAGGGTCGGACGTTACCGCGTGTTCGCAATTCAGTCCATACTATCTTTTCTCAGATAGAAACCAATGGGCAGTACCATGGTGATGGAGTAACACAACTGGGTTGGACTGCCATGTGACTCGTTCAGTCTGGTTGATTAGCGAATATGACATCGATCGGTAGCACCTCTTTCTTTTCTTTAGGACCTCGTTTGATGGACAGACAAGATGATCGATCCGCCATGACACGAGTGGATGGAGGAGGCTGTGGTGGTGGACAGGTGAGCATGGCAACCCCGTGGGTGTTTGTTTGCGTGATTTTCGGAGAAGTGTGCACGCGTGTGCGAAGCCTGTCTAGCTCAGTTGGTAGAGCGCAAGACTCTTAATCTTGTGGTCGGTGGGTTCGAGCCCCACGGTGGGCGACTACCAATGATGTGATCGAAACGGGTGCAGTCCCGTTCTCTTTTAGAGCCGCACTTTTTCCGTCTCTTCGTTACAGTGGTTTATCAGCTGGATTGGCTCCAGAACAAGGGCGCACCATTCTCTGACCACTCGAATCCGGGCAGGCTGCGAGTCGGATGTTACCGCTGTGTTCGCAACTCAGTCCATACTATCTCTTCTCAGATAGAAACCAATGGGCAGTACCATGGTGATGGAGTAACATAACTGGGTTCGACTGCCATGTGACTCGTTCAGTCTGGTTGATTAGCGAAATGACATCGATCGGTAGCACCTCTTTCTTTCTTTCTTAGGACCTCGTTTGATGGACAGACAAGAAGATTGATCCGCCATGACACGAAGATGGATGGAGGGAGGCTGTGGGGTGGAGGACAGGTGAGCATGGCAAGCCCCATGGTGTTTGTTTGCGTGAATTTTGAGGAAGTGTGCATGCGTGTGCGAAGCCTGTCTAGCTCAGTTGGTAGAGCGCAAGACTCTTGATCTTGTGGTCGTGGGTTCGAGCCCCACGGTGGGGCGACTACCCCAATGATACGATCGAAACGGATGCAGTCCCGATCTCTTTAGAGCCGCACTTTTTCCGTCTCTTCGTTACAGTGGTTTATCAGCTGGATTGGCTCCAGAACAAGGCGCACCATTCTCGACCACTCCGAATCGGGCAGGCTGCGAGTCGGACGTTACCGCGTGTTCGCAATTCAGTCCATACTATCTCCTTTCTCAGATAGAAACCAATGGGCAGTACCATGGTGATGGGAGTAACATCAACTGGGTTGGACTGCCATGTGACTCGTTCAGTCTGGTTGATTCGCGAAATGACATCGATCGGTAGCACCCTCTTTCTTTTCTTTAGGACCTCGTTTGATGGACAGACAAGATGATCGATCCGCCATGACACGAGTGGATGGAGGAGGCTGTGGTGGTGGACAGGTGAGCATGGCAAACCCCGTGGGTGTTTGTTTGCGTGATTTTTCGGAGAAGTGTGCACGCGTGTGCGAAGCCCGTCTAGCTCAGTCGGTAGAGCGCAAGACTCTTAATCTTGTGGTCGTTGGTTCGAGCCCCACGGTGGGTGACTACCAATGATGTGATCGAAACGGATGCAGTCCCTATCACTTTTAGAGCCGCACTTTTTCCGTCTCTTCGTTACAGTGGTTTATCAGCTGGATTGGCTCCAGAACAAGGCGCACCATTCTCGACCACTCGAATCGGGCAGGCTGAGAGTCGGACGTTACCGCGTGTTCGCAACCCAGTCCATACTATCTCTTCTCGGATAGAAACCAATGGGCAGTACCATGGTGATGGAGTAACACAACTGGGTTGGACTGCCATGTGACTCGTTCAGTCTGGTTGATTAGCGAAATGACATCGATCGGTAGCACCTCTTTTTCTTTCTTTAGGACCTCGTTCGATGGACAGACAAGATGATCGATCCGCCATGACACGAGTGGATGGAGGAGGCTGTGGTGGTGGACAGGTGAGCATGGCAAGCCCCGTGGGTGTTTGTTTGCGTGATTTTTTGGAGAAGTGTGCACGCGTGTGCGAAGCCTGTCTAGCCTCAGTTGGTAGAGCGCAAGACTCTTAATCTTGTGGTCGTGGGGTTCGAGCCCCACGATGGGCGACTACCAATGATGCGATCGAAACGGATGCAGTCCTGATCTCCTTTTAGAGCCGCACTTTTCCGTCTCTTCGTTACAGTGGTTTATCAGCTGGATTGGCTCCAGAACAAGGCGCACCATTCTCGACCACTCGAATCGGGCAGGCCGAGAGGTCGGACGTTACCGCGTGTTCGCAATTCAGTCCATACTATCTCTTCTCGGATAGAAACCAATGGGCAGTACCATGGTGATGGAGTAACACAACTGGGTTGGACTGCCATGTGACCTCGTTCAGTCTGGTTGATTAGCGACATGACATCGATCGGTAGCACCTCTTTCTTTCTTTCTTTAGGACCTCGTATTGATGGACAGACAAGACGATCGATCCGCCATGACACGAGTGGATGGAGGAGGCTGTGGTGGAGGACAGGTGAGCATGGCAAACCCCGTGGGTGTTTGTTTGCGTGATTTTTCGGAGAAGTGTGCGCGTGTGCGAAGCCCGTCTAGCTCAGTCGGTAGAGCGCAAGACTCTTAATCTCAAGAGACTCTTGATCTTGTGGTCGTGGGTTCGAGCCCCACGGTGGGCGACTACAATGATGTGATCGAAACGGATGCAGTCCTGATCTCTTTAGAGCCGCACTTTTCCGTCTCTTCGTTACAGTGGTTTATCAGCTGGATTGGCTCCAGAACAAGGCGCACCATTCTCGACCACTCCGAATCGGGCAGGCTGCGAGTCGGACGTTACCGCGTGTTCGCAACCCAGTCCATACTATCTCTTCTCAGATAGAAACCAATGGGCAGTACCATGGTGATGGAGTAACACAACTGGGTTGGACTGCCATGTGACTCGTTCAGTCTGGTTGATTAGCGACATGACATCGATCGGTAGCACCTTTTTCTTTCTTCAGGACCTCGTTTGATGGACAGACAAGATGATCGATCCGCCATGACACGAGTGGATGGAGGAGGCTGTGGTAGTGGACAGGTGAGCATGGCAAACCCCGTGGGTGTTTGTTTGCGTGACTTTTCGGAGAAGTGTGCACGCGTGTGCGAAGCCTGTCTAGCTCAGTTGGTAGAGCGCAAGACTCTAAATCGTGTGGTCGTGGGTTCGAGCCCCACGGTGGGCGACTACCAATGATGTGATCGAAACGGGTGCAGTCCCGTTCTCTTTCAGAGCCGCACTGTCTCTTCGTTACGGTGGTTTATCAGCTGGATTGGCTCTAGAACAAGGCGCACCATTCTCGACCACTCGAATCGGGCAGGCTGCGAGTCGGACGTTACCGCGTGTTCGCAACCCAGTCCATACTATCTCTTCTCGGATAGAAACCAATGGGCAGTACCATGGTGATGGAGTAACACAACTCGGTTCGACTGCCATGTGACTCGTTCAGTCTGGTTGATTAGCGAAATGACATCGATCGGTAGCACCTCTTTCTTTCTTTAGGACCTCGTTTGATGGACAGACTAGACGATTGATCCGCCATGACACGAGTGGATGGAGGAGGCTGTGGTGGAGGACAGGTGAGCATGGCAAACCCCGTGGGTGTTTGTTTGCGTGAATTTTTGGAGAAGTGTGCACGCGTGTGCGAAGCCTGTCTAGCTCAGTTGGTAGAGCGCAAGACTCTAAATCGTGTGGTCGTGGGTTCGAGCCCCACGGTGGGCGACTACCAATGATGCGATCGAAACGGATGCAGTCCCGATCTCTTTAGAGCCGCACTTTTTCCGTCTCTTCGTTACAGTGGTTTATCAGCTGGATTGGCTCCAGAACATGGCGCACCATTCTCGACCACTCGAATCGGGCAGGCTGCGAGTCGGATGTTACCGCGTGTTCGCAATTCAGTCCATACTATCTCTTCTCAGATAGAAACCAATGGGCAGTACCATGGTGATGGAGTAACACAACTCGGTTCGACTGCCATGTGACTCGTTCAGTCTGGTTGATTAGCGAAATGACATCGATCGGTAGCACCTCTTTCTTTCTTTCTTTAGGACCTCGTTTGATGGACAGACTAGACGATTGATCCGCCATGACACGAGTGGATGGAGGAGGCTGTGGTGGAGGACAGGTGAGCATGGCAAACCCCGTGGGTGTTTGTTTGCGTGAATTTTTGGAGAAGTGTGCACGCGTGTGCGAAGCCTGTCTAGCTCAGTTGGTAGAGCGCAAGACTCTAAATCGTGTGGTCGTGGGTTCGAGCCCCACGGTGGGCGACTACCAATGATGTGATCGAAACGGGTGCAGTCCCGTTCTCTTTCAGAGCCGCATTTTTTCCGTCTCTTCGTTACGGTGGTTTATCAGCTGGATTGGCTCCAGAACAAGGCGCACCATTCTCGACCACTCGAATCGGGCAGGCTGCGAGTCGGACGTTACCGCGTGTTCGCAACCCAGTCCATACTATCTCTTCTCAGATAGAAACCAATGGGCAGTACCATGGTGATGGAGTAACACAACTCGGTTCGACTGCCATGTGACTCGTTCAGTCTGGTTGATTAGCGAAATGACATCGATCGGTAGCACCTCTTTCTTTCTTTCTTTAGGACCTCGTTTGATGGACAGACTAGACGATTGATCCGCCATGACACGAGTGGATGGAGGAGGCTGTGGTGGAGGACAGGTGAGCATGGCAAACCCCGTGGGTGTTTGTTTGCGTGAATTTTTTTGAGAAGTGTGCACGCGTGTGCGAAGCCCGTCTAGCTCAGTTGGTAGAGCGCAAGACTCTAAATCGTGTGGTCGTGGGTTCGAGCCCCACGGTGGGCGACTACCAATGATGTGATCGAAACGGATGCAGTCCCGTTCTCTTTCAGAGCCGCATTTTTTCCGTCTCTTCGTTACGGTGGTTTATCAGCTGGATTGGCTCTAGAACAAGGCGCACCATTCTCGACCACTCGAATCGGGCAGGCTGCGAGTCGGACGTTACCGCGTGTTCGCAACCCAGTCCATACTATCTCTTCTCGGATAGAAACCAATGGGCAGTACCATGGTGATGGAGTAACACAACTGGGTTGGAATGCCATGTGACTCGTTCTGACTAGTTGATTAGCGAAATGACATCGATCGGTGGCACCTCTTTCTTTCTTTAGGACCTCGTTCCGATGGTTAGATTGAGACGATTGATCCGCCATGACACGAGAGTGGATGGAGGAGGCTGTGGTGGTGGACAGGTGAGCATGAGCAAGCCCCGTGAGTGTTTGTTTGGTGGAGAATTTTTTGAGAGAAGTGTGCACGCGTGTGCGGAAGGCCTGTCTAACTCAGTTGGTAGAGCGCAACACTCTAAATCGTGTGGTCGTGGGTTCGAGCCCACGGTGGGCGACTACCAATGATGCGATCAACTGAAACGGATGCAGTCCCGATCTCTTTGATCCGCACTTTTCCGTCTCTTCGTTACAGTGGTTTATCAGCTGGATTGGCTCCAGAACATGGCGCACCATTCTCGACCACTCGAATCGGGCAGGCTGCGAGTCGGACGTTACCGCGTGTTCGCAACCCAGTCCATACTATCTCTTCTCAGATAGA